TCATACACATCTTTTTATTTTCTCTTTTTTTCCATTCTTTCTTATTATAACTTTCTATTTAGAACATTTTATCAAAGGCCGATACGTCACAATTTGTTCTAATCATCACTCGAACCAAACTGTCCATGACCAGTTTTGCAGCTGACTCATTCAAAAAAAAAAAAATAAACCTAAGGATAATTCCCCAGGACTGTTTAAACGTGAAATGAATAAACAATCTGCGATCTATAAATCTCAACATGTTATGTATATCTGAACCTCAAAATTTTATATGCCGTACAATTTTGCGCTAAACCACCCCTCAACACTCATAATGCGAACATACATATACACATACATACATACACGTACTTTCACACATACGTACATACATACATACATGTATACATACATACATATCTGCACATACATACATGCACGAACGCACATACACACACACACCGGCTTCGCAGACATGAATACATAAGAAAAAAAGTCCAGTTTGTATCATGAAATACTAGAAATACAGGGAAGACTTGACGGTCACCTAGTTATAGACAAAATTCCGAACTCCAAACACAGGGCACCTATACAAGTTCAGTCAAGGATTGCCACATAGCTTTCAAAAAAATAAAGTGAAAAAGTGAAAATAAAGTTAAAAATCAAAAAAAAAAAAAATAAAGTGAAAAAGTAACCGTTAATGAATTATTGACTCGAACGATGCTTTTAATCAAAAAGTCACAGATCAATCTGCAAAACAGGGGCGACTCGATCAACGGTGACAGCGCTGACTCCTGAAAACATAAAAATCAAGCTTCAATCAAAACACAGAGAAGAGGACGGTGCATGTATGTACAAAACAACCCCTCTTTTCTGCGAATATTCCATCTTTTTTTTCCGATCTTCCTTGGAAAAAGAGACAAACAGCATGCTGTACATACGGCGGACACTAATCTACAGTACGTGATTCAATGTAGACATTTCAATGTAAACAAAAAATTGACATAAATTTCTTACGGATGCGGTTCTTAAATTTCTTACGATTAAAAATTCTTTAAAATTCTTATGAAAAAAATTAAAAATTCTTACGAAAATTTACATAAATTTCTTACGAATTTCTTACAAAAATTGACATAAATTCAATGTAAACAAAAAATTGACACATAAATTTCTTACGAATGTGGTTCTTAAATTTCTTACGAAAAAAATTCCTTAAAATTCTTACGAAAAAAATTAAAAATTCTTACGAAAATTGACATAAATTTCTTACGAGTTTCTTACAAAAATTGACATAAATTCAATGTAAACAAAAAATTGACACATAAATTTCTTACGAATGCGGGCAAAAACATACATCGTTTGTAATGATGAGTTCCAGTGCTCGCAAAACAATGGTCCACAATTGCTCGGAATGCGAATTCGATGCGATTGCAAAATCAATGATCGTATTAACACACTGTGCTGGTAGCACACATTTGCTTGTTGCTGGATGC